CTGACGGAGTTGTTGTCGAGTTTCGCTGGGTTTGTTATTGTTCTGTTATCAGTTGTAGCGGAAGCGGAAGATCAAGCATCATCAGTGAGAGTCTGAGCGCAGATCTGGCGCCTACTTCCGGCGAACAGCAGCACGACAACACAAAGAAGAAGACGCGTTAAACTACGCGATTTACATTACATTACATACAGTGCTGGATCAGGAGAGTAACTGTGTTAAATCATGCTTTTAGTGTCTGATGTTCAGCTGTGTCAGACATATAAGAGCTGTTTATTCAAATGACTGTGACAGTGACAATAACATCTTAATTATCACCTTTGCGTGGTGAAATGCACAAAAATGATGCACCGCTGTTTTTAAGTGGGAAAAAGAAATAAAACAAATTACTTCTTTGATTAAATAATGGTTTTATTTCTCTTGAAATAACATGTCAGTACCACTGCAAGCTAGTACAAAATAATGTCAAATTACTAAGATTAAGATAAATATTCTCCCAGATTAATACAATACGAAGTGTCTATATTTACACTAAGTGCAAATAGCCCACCTTTCTGGCTATAAACTTTTTCCCTCCCTTTTCAAATCTCATATCACTTTGGAAAGGTATTTATTTTCAATAAAAATGAAGGAAATAATCAAAAAGTTGAAATTAAAGTATCGGGTAGGGTTAGGTGTAGGGAGAGCTTAAATTGTGCCAATAAGGTGGCATCCATTTAATAATTTGAATTGAAATGACAATTTACATCCAAAACGTTGTTATTGCATACTTATTCATAATGTACTACAACACTGAGGTGCAGATGATTCCCAATAGTAATGCTCTTAATGTAAAGTAAATAGCATCTATCGCTGAATTGTTGATAGTATTGATCTCTGTTTTATTGAAGTCTTTCTGCGGTTGAATTGACGGATTCCATGATTCATGATTAAAAAAAATATTCATATACATGATATACATGCTGCGATTTGTAAGTAGGAAAAAGAGAACGAAACATAAAATAGCTTTTTGTTCTTTCTATTAAACAGTGGTTTACTGAACAAACTAATAAATTGAAGATAAAAAATATTTCCCCACATTAGTCTGGTTTTTCTGACAGACTCATTCAAAAAAACATTAAACAATGATGACGACAGTAATGAAAATGTGATATAGTGCATTTATTAATCATACATAATGCTCCTCTCTAGAGTGATTTCTCTAGTTTATGTTCATTGAATGTCTTTTCTGAGGTAAATGTGACATTATTGATCTCAAGCTGTTTTGTTATCTCTCTGCGGCTGAAACTATCTGTCAGCACACATTAAAGAGCATCAAAACCACATTTATTGCCTGAATTTAGTGGTAAAACTGACAGGATTTTGAAAGCGGAACAGGACTGTGAAATAGACTTCTGCTTCAATGTGAAGAAAAAACGAGGCATCGCTCGTTTAGTTTGAACAGATATTAAAATGACCGGAAACAAGGTCAATTTAGCTCAAATGGAATAATTTATGATTTTATATGGAATTTGGATTCGTCGGCCAGCGATTCATTGAATGGGTATAACATCAACTCTGCAATGGATATTAATATCCAACATATAGTGAAAACACTATTAATTAGCACAGTCACAAGATCAGCAGTTTAAGACATTAACTTGTAAGCACAAAACACAAGATACTTCTCTTTTCAATATAAATAAGACTTTATTGGATAAATCTAAGACTAAGACATATAACTAATCTAACACATGAACACACGCATTCACACAAGTTGCAGGAAGAGATAAAGTGAGAAAAGAATGAGTTTAAGAGAATGAAAATATGAAATCCCAAGTTTACAGCAGTATGTGCAATTGCATAGACCTGAACGATACCTCTTATTTTATTTTCGATCCGATACCGATATTTTCAAGCCCAGTATCGCCGATACCCAGTACCGATACCGATACTTCTAAACTAAACTGATCTTTCAATTATTAAAAGAATATAATCAGTAATTATACTCACGTAATATTAGATTTTAAAGCCATGTTTTTTAACATTGCATAGGCCTTTTTTACACTGTCAGAAATAAAATATCCTATAATTGTATTTTAGCCCTTTACTGGGGCAGTAACCTCAAAGGTGCACTTATACCCCTAAAAGGGAGCATATTAGTACCATACAAGTATGCATGCTTTAAGGGTAGATAAGTTACAAAGGTGCACCTTTGAGGGTACCTCATGAAAAATAAACATGGTGTTACATAAGTACTAAAATGTATTACCATGGTAAATTTGTGGTTACTGCAGTTTTACTACAAATACTGTGGTAAACTGTGGTTACTGTAATAAAACCATGGTTAATTTTTGTAAAAGGCTGCCAGGCTGTTGTACCCCTAAAGGTGAAACTTTAGCATATTTTTTTCTGACAGATTTATTAACAGCAATTACAGAACATAACACAATCCATTTGAACTTTTAACAACCAATTTAAAATAAATATTACATGTACACAAAAGTTTGGGGTTAGTAAGATTTTGTAATATTTTTTAAAGTCTCATGCTCACCAAGGCTGCACTTATTTGAACACACACACACACACACACAAAAAAGTAAAAGCAGCTATATTGTGAAATATATTTCACAATATATTTTAATATAATTTAAAATGTAATTTAAAATGCATCTGTGATCAAAGCTGTATTTTCAGCATCATTACTCCAGTCTTCAGTGTCACATGATCCTTCAGAAATCATTCTAATATCATTTGCTGCTCAAGAAACATTTATTATTATTGCTGCTTC